TCCAATCTTGATAGATATGTTTATTTTGTTAATGTTTATAATGATAGTGGGTAACATTGTATGATTTTTCTTAACATTGTGATTTATCTATATTGTGATATTTTTATGACATTGTAACTTTTTTTCCTTGACAATGCTTACAATATTGTGACATTTATATACTCCATAGTTTTAGTAATGTCATGTTTATAGCATTAACATTGTCACGATATTGACATTGACATCGATATTGACATTATCACAACATTGTGAATGTCATTTTTTAATGTCATTTTTATAGCATTGACATCATCATTATCAGATATTATAATATATTTTTAATATTCTGACATTTATAATATATTTAAACAAGGTTCATAATATTTTGACATTGCATGATATTGCTTCAAAAACGTCATTATAATATTTTTTGATATTCCGACATTTTTAATACATTTAAAGTTTAAACAATGTTCATAAGTCATTATATTTTGACACTGCATAATATTGCTCTAACAATGTAACTCGTGTTGATTGAAAATCTAACTTTAGTGTATGCAAAATGTAACTTGTTGAAGCAAACCCAAATGTAATTCGCGTATAGAAAGACGTAACTCACGCACAAGTAAATGTAACTCGTGCATAAGAAGATGTAACTCCATATAATATTAAATTCAATTATAGAGATTGTCTATAAACATAACTCACACATATGAAAAATGTATTATTCTCATGTTTTTTTTTTCAAATTTAAATCGAAATAAACAAACTTAATGTCTATAAAACACAAAAAACATATAAAAGAGATAAGAAATACACCATAGAAAAAAGTGTATGAATATAAAAAATATTTTACAAAAAAAGTGTATAATAAATGTAAAACGAGTACACAAAGTAAGAGATAGTGTATGATTATGAAATACAATATACGATAGTGCTTATTTTATGTGGATTAATAAAATTTTGTAATAAATTGGTAAAGAAAATAATAATAATTCAATTATAATTTAATTAGTTCAAGATAAAGATAAATAAAAAATTGCAACTAATAAGATGTAACTCACGTACATGTAACTCATGCATAAAAATATGTAAACCGCGCATAAGAAGATGTCACTCCATGTAGTATCAAATATAATTGCGGGAATCATGTATGAATGTAAATCGTACACTTGAAAATGTAATCGCTTGTTTTATTAAATGTAAATTCCATACTTGAAAATGTAATCACATGTTTTTATTAAATGTAAATAGAAATAAACAAACTCAATGTATTGAAAAACACTAAAAACATTTAAAAGAGATAAGAAATTATTTCACATAAAAATATTAGAAAAAAGTAATTGTTATCACATTTTTAATATTTTAATAATGGAATTGAAGATAATTGAAAAACAAAACAAGTAAAAAAGAAGAAGAGTCGTGCAAGCATATCATGGCTACTTGATTTTTTTTTTTTTTATAAATCACAATTAAGAGACGATAATATTGAAATTAAGAGACGATAATATTGAAATAATATTGAAATATCATGGCTACTTGATTAATAATATAAAAATACTCCCTCCGTCCCGCAATAAACTTCACACTTTCCTTTTTGGGCAGCCCCGAAATTAACTTCACACTTCAAAACGTTCCTTATTTGACAAATAATCTATATCAAAACAGTGTCAAACAGTGTCAAACAGTGTCCAAACAATGTTTGAATAGTACAAAACAATGCAAAACAGTGCAAAACGGAGTATGAGAGAAAGCATGGTAATAGGAAACGAAGGGAAAGCAGGGAAGGGAAAGGTCAAGGGGAAAAATAATAAAACTGGGGGAAGGAAGCTATGCGTGAAAACGGTGGTGGAGAAAAAAAAAAGGAGTGACGGAATCGGAAAATAAAAGTTGGTCAGACAAGAGAAGAATATTTGACTAATTTGTTTTTAATTAAAGATACGATGCCGTATTGGGATTGACACACCATGCGCATGCTGTGCCGATCCCACGGTATAATTTGCCCCTTTAAAGTTGCATGCTAGGCTGACACAGCGACAGGCCGACACGGGATGGCTGACTCTGCGTAATGGGATTTTTTTATTACACTTAATTTTATTAATTTATGCATTTTCACTAAGTTTGCTTAAGACCTATCCCCGATTCAGAATCGAACCGAAATCAGAACCGAATTATCGGTTCACGATTCTAAATTTTAGGGAACCTGAACCGCACAATACCAGTTCTAAAATCGGCGGTTCCGGTTCAGTTTCTAGTTCTATTTTTTATTTTTTATTTTTAGATATTAAAGTTTAGTATTTTTTTAATAAAGTAATAAAATAGTAACCAAAAAGTTACAAGAATAAATTTCTCTTATTGCTAAGACTAAGTACAAAAATAAGATAGTTAATAGCTAAGTAGTTATACTTTAATTATTAATAAATTATGGATACTTATTACTAATAATTTTAATAAAAAATATTTCAACTAGTATGGTAATAACTAGGGAGTAGTAACTAGTAACTCTTATAATTGTTATTTCTATTATTAATACAAGCATCATCATCATCATCATCATCATCATCATCATCATCATCATCATCATCACCATCATCACCATCACCACCATCACCATCATCATCACCACCATCATCATCATCATCATCATCATCATTATTATTAGCATTATTAATATTATTAATAATATTATTTGTTAAATGTCTTACACCGGAAAAGTTTGGACGAACAAAATGCTATATTAACACATGAGCTACTCCTCCTATCAGGTGTTAAGACACGGGGTTCCATCCTAAAAGGTCAACGTGATAGGGGGAGTAGCTCATGTGTTAATATATCATTTTGTTCGTCATAACTTTTCCGGTGTGAGACAGTTAACACCCCTCCTCACGACCAGACACTTCGTCTGGATCGTGCCATCATTCATTTTTTTCATCGGTCCGTTTTTTTCATCCGACCGTAATTGTCATTTTTTATAATCGTGTCATCACGATTCATAAGGGAGCCCACACCATGGATCGATTTGGCTCCGATACCATGTTAAGACACGGGATTCCATTCTAAAAGGTCAACCTGATAGGAGGAGACGAGGAGTAGCTCATGTGTTAATATAACATTTTGTTCGTCCCAACCTTTCCGGTGTGGGACATTTAACATTCTTAACAAATAATTAATAAAAAAAGAGGTTCCAAACCGGAACCACCGGTTACGGTTCCAATTTTTTGGGGAAACCGAACCGGATTTGTAAACCTTCTGTTCCGAACCGGAAGTACTATGCGGTTCCGGTTACGTTTTAAAAACAGGCGGTTCCGGTTTAACTGAAAACCGCGGGCAGGTTTAAGTTTGCTTCTTCGTTTTTAATGATGGGTCCCTTTAAATCGCCAAAATTTGTGTCCAGATCATTAGTACATTATTCCTTTTTGTTTAAATTAATTTTAACGCATTTTTCTAATTTTTGTATGACTAAAAATCCAAAAAAATAAAGAAATCTCATTTATTTTTAAAGGTTGAATGACGAAATTACCCTTATTCAAAATATCTCCATTTTGACATAGTGTTGTCCAATTAAACATACTACACTTTATATTACCGTTAATGCACTACATTAATGCACGACTTTACTGCACATCCGGTAATAATCACCGCACTTCCGCCGAAATTAATTCTCTTCTCATTCATTCTGGGGATAATTTTTTTAGATTTAATAATTTTATTATTTTACGTCTAATTAAGTATATTGCATTTCATAGTGGCATTATTGCTTTGTGTTACTGCACTACTGGTCATAATCATTGCACTTCACATCAATGCATTCATTTACTGCCCATATACAACACTATCTATTGACATGTTCACTGTCCATATTCAACACTATCTATTGCAATGTTCACTGCCCATATTCAATGTCCAAAAAGCCTAATTTCAAAAAATACAAAAAGCGAAGAACAAAATGAGGTCTTGATTGTTAAAGAGCTATGCTTGGTGTACACAAAAGTGTACACTTTTTGAACACTGCCTGTGTACACATGCAATTGGAGACAAATGTTGTCTCTTTCTTAACGAATCGCTTGTGTACACAGACAACTAGAGAAGTGTATACAAAAAAGTGTACACATTTTATGTGCCTTAAGCATTTTTCATTGTTAAATGCAATGCACTCCTTATGCTAAAAAAATGCAATGCAGTCCATAATTATTGCACACCCATCATGCTACTAAAAGTCAAAGTATTTCACGCAAATTATAATATGTGTTCCAAATTCTAGAGAAACAATCCACCTCATACGCAAATTATTTGTCTGCAGAGAGGCGCCCGTCGACAGCCACACTCTGACCTCTTTCGTTGCTTCCTCGCCATCTAAACTATGGGCGGGGACCCACTCAATGAAGGCCTTTACTCCATCTCACCTTCTTCATCTTCACAGAGAACGTAACTGAGAAAGAGACGGAGGTTAAAGAGAATGATCTGAGGCGGAACATGCGGCCGTGTAGCGGGCCATGGGGCAGCGGCGGACGGCGGGCCATGGGGCGGTGGCAGGGAGTGTGCGGCTGCGGGTGAATCTATGAAGGTGAAAGAGTGGAGGTTAAGGTTGGAGAAAAAATAGCAGGAGCTTAAGGTTTTATAGATATAATAATAACCCAAAGGCTATATTTGTTCACTTAATTAATTTATTTATTTATTATGAATTTTAATTAAATAATACTCGTATGAATTTTAATATTATTTTGGTAAAAAACTAGTTAGATATGAGAAACTTGAAAAAGTTTTAATCATACCTAGATAATTATATCCTAAAACAACCCTCCATTCCTTCTTAGGATCTGTTTGCAACAGTTTCTGCTTTAAAAAGGTGTTTTTTTAATGAAATGGGGAGGATTGATTGAATAAAAGTTGATAGTGTTTGAGAAAAAAGTGATTTTGTAAAGTAAAAGTTGGTGGTGTTTGGTAAAATAAGTGTTTTTTGTGTAATAGAAAAAGTAAAAACACTTTTAACATAAAAGCCGAGAAAAATAAAAGTTATAGTGTTTGGTAAAAGAAGTATTTTATTAAAGCCAAAAATCAAGAAGTGCTTTTTTTTAAAGCGTTTGCAAACCAACCCTTAATTTATTTCAACTTTTCCAACTCAATACATATCAACTACTCCGTATATCTACAATTTTTAATAATTGTATGTCTCAGTCTGTATGGAGTCATCGAAAATAGCTCCGGTATTTAAAAATGTGAAGGATTAAAAAAAAGAAACAGTTATACTCCTATTACAGAAAAGGGGAAGAGTTTAAATGAGTTGGACTGTGGGAGCCAGTATATTTGACTTTGACCAATTCTGAATCCAGAAGGCATTCAATTCTTCTTCTTCCATGGCTGAACGGAGAGAACGATGATCAAGATGACGGCGAGCAGGATGATGATTCCGATGCAAGTCCATTTCCTGGTACTCTTCTGGTGCTTCCTGGCGACCTGCAGATTCTGGGTCCCACCCCTGACGAAGCTGTTCGCTCTGTTCACATGGCTCTCGATGTCGTCCAGCTGCTCCCCCTGGCTCTCCACCAGCACCGCCATGTCCAGGAACACCTGGTGCAGCTCCTTCAGGCTCCTCTCCACCTCCTTCACCGCCGCGTGCCGCTCCTGGATCTCCCCCACCGTCCCCATCACCTCCGCCCTCCCCTGCTCCTGGATCGCCTTCTGCAGGAACGTCTCGCTCTCGCCCGTCGAGATCAGATCGTCCAGCACCGCCTCCTCCGGCGCCTCCCCCGTCACCGTCCGGTACCGCCGCTGCACCGTCTCCCGGTACTCCGCCGCCATCTTCTGCCGGAGCTCGTTGAACCGGTTCATCGAGTCCACCAGATTCTTCCTCAGCCCGCTCACGACCGACGACCGGGTCCGGTCGGTCGAGCTCCCCGGACCGCAACCGGGGATGCTCCGGTTCGCCGCGTTTGACCGGTCCAGCGCCTCGAGCCGGACTTTGACGATTTTCGCCTTCTTCAACGCGCTGGAAACGCCTCCGTCCATAACTTTCCGGAGATCTTTCACCTCCCGGGCATTGTGGAGAGATTTGCTGTGTTCGTGGGAGCTGTTAAGACTGCTGTAGATTGTGTCGAGATCCTTGAGATCTTCCTTAATCGCGTCGACGTCGGCGAAGAACTTTTCGAGATTCACTCCGCTGGTGCCGGCGGCAGTCATCTCGATCGAGTGGGAATCGGACGCTTGATCGTCCCGGTGACGAAGGAAAGATCCAGAGAAAAGATCATTCATTCTTATTCAATAAGAAGTAATTGTATATATATTCGTCTCCAGCTCAAGTAATGGTCCGGAAGATCAATCAATCAATCAGTCCAAGATTTTTAAGGGATGAGGAGATAAGGAGGTGAGATGATTGAAGAAGAAGAAGAGTATATGAACTGGACAGACGGATTACAATGGTAACAGAAGATCAGAACGCGTCAACAAAGAGCCGGGAAAAAGTCAACACAGGTTAATACCAAAGGATTCTTCATTTCTTTGTTAAACTATCCAAAATTGGGTGGGTGTTTGTTGAAAAAAAAATGCTTTATGTAAACATTTTGTTATACATCTTTCGTACACTCGTCTGTCTCACGCACACAGCACACAATTGTCTGTTTGTTCACAAACAACACTACAGAATTGTCTGCGAACAAAAAATTTTTTATACGTGAGATAGACAAATGTACAAAAAGTGTATATATCTAGCACAACTCTTGTTAAAATGCCAAAATGAAAAAATGAAGGCTACATATTAGTCAACAAGCATAACTATCTCTTATTTTCATTCCAATATTGTCCTTTCACACCCTCTTTCCGAAAATACACAAAAAGTGAATACACATTTTATATTTTTGAATTTTTTAAATGAATTGTTTATGTTAACATGCAAAATAGAGGGTCTACACGCTTTTAGTGTACACCTATTTTTATTCGGAAAAAATGTTTATAAAAAATAATGCATTATTGGATCTTCGTGACCCCTATCCGTACAAAAGAACAAGACATGATTGAACTATTAACCATCACCTTATCATAAAGCACCTCCACCGAGCTGAGATGAATGTTTTGGATGATAATAAAAGTTGTTAATGATCATTGCATGTTGATAATATTTCTATTATTTTATTACTATCCTTTTATTATACGGAGTAAGTAACAACTCAACAAAAAGAAGATCTGAAATTTTAAGTATATGCATTGGCAAAATCTATATACTCAACTTTTATTTGGTTTTCAAAAAAAAAAAATCAAACTTTTACTGCCGTTATGATTTTTGTCCTCGCCAAAAAGGAGTATTTTTTTTTCTGTCGTTATGATCCCTCTTATATGCCAAGCTTTTACTTTAGTTGTTTTTTTGGTATGCTAGTGCGTGTTTGAAACAGAATATAGGCCTTCCTAGCTTCTATCTTGGCATAAAAGGAGGATATGAAGGAAGGTGGATGTAGCCAAACAAATGACCATCCATGGATTCACCCCCAAGTCTTTTTTGTTGTGAGAGGATTTGAGTTCAATTCCTACCTAGGAGAGATGAAAGAGGTCATGTCCCCATGAATTTTCCAATCTTTACGGAGTAGCTCAGCGGCCGAGAAGGCAAAAGATGGTAATGAAGGTAATTGATTCGTGTGATGAGTACTAGGCCGGATTGGACTGATGCCAAGAATATTTTTTCAAAAAATTTTACAAAGGATTTTTTACACTAAAATAGAGACGTTTTTAAAATTTGACCTGGGTCGGAGCCAGAGTTTGCCTCCCCTAGCTACGCCCCTGGTGATGGGAGGAGCAGTCTGAAAGGGGCATGTGATGTAAGTCCTACTGAATTGGTCTTTTAGAGCCAGTACCAACTATGCTGATTGTGATCAGATCCGATTTACCTATCTAGGGGCTTGGGAGCATAAGCTCCCACACCTGGATGATGAAAAAAAGGAGGATATTAAAGGGCTTAAGTTGTGGCACGTATGTCATATGTGCATGGGTGAACAAAAGAACCAAACCCAAAATCAAATCGATCAAAATCGAAACTGACCAAAACTGAAACCCCCAGAAACAGTCTAATCTTTCGATGGATTCAATTTGCGGTTTATAATTTTGGGTTAAAAATAACAGTCAAATAAAAATCACCCGATCAAACCTGACCAAACAAGCTAAAACAGATCGAAATGAGAATGAATATCACTCCTTAGATTTATGATGTTGCACTAGAACAAGCTTCATGTTGTGCTATTGATTTAAATTTTGCAATTTTACATTAACACAAGTTTGTGTTGAACTACAATTTGACAATGATGTACCAAAATAGTTTCATATTGAACTAGGGAGGGGTAACATGTTTTTTCCCAAAAGTATTTAAAAAAAATGCCATCACACATTATTACATAGTTACATACTCCATTGCAATATGAACTCTCTTTTACTAAAAAATTGTGAAAGCTAATGACTGAGATTCATTCTCATTTCCACTTAAAAGTTTCTCCTTATTGGATAAAAGTAAGCACTTAAAACTTAAATAAACCAAAATAAATATAATTTAATCCAACATTTAAATTGTAAGGGTCGTACTCTCAATTTATTACACCATTCATGTAAAGTAATACGGATTACCAAGTACTACGCCCACTCAAAAAAAGTTTGTCATATTGACTTTTCATGGTCCATGAGAGCAAAGTTTGAATAGCGATTTTAATTATTATATTTGCATATAATTTATAAATTTTATACTCTTATGAAAATATTTTTAATAAGTAACATTTTAATATAATTTTCACATGTAAAATGATTTGTACTGAAAAATATCAATACTCAAAGTTGACTACTGTTGACTTGAAAAAGTCATGACCGACTTTTTAGGAGAGGGGTATAAAATTTGACTGGTTATGATATATCTTTAAGAGGACGCAAAAAATAAAAAATAAAAAAAAAGATTATGTGATTGAGATCTAAAAAAATTATGTACCACTGTTTTCTATGGAGTAGAAAAAGAAGTTTTTCATAAAACATTACTTATGGATAAAATATGACTATATGTTAATATAGTGAGTATGATGCATCATTATACAATTATGATAACTAAAACTATCTTATCACATATTTTTTCACTACTTTTATTAGATACGGAGTATATATTTGGAACTTTCGAAGGAATTACTCCGTATTAGATTGGGGCGGTGTAAAACTGTAAATGAGAATTTGTCTAACGGTGTAGCGTAGATGTTTTTTTTTTGACGGAATGTAGAGTAGATGGTTAAGGCTGCCCGAACCCTGTTCCGTCAATAAGTCAAATTCCACAGTTCTTTATACGTATTCACTAAGTCAAACTATTTTTTCTTACAACCCAGCACCGTCAATATATTCGCCTAACATTTTTTTTAAAAAAAATTAAATGTACAAATCCTTACTTTTACTGCAACCCAACACCGTCAATATATTCACTTTGTAAAGTTTTTTAATTAAAATCTTAACATTTATTATTATACATCATTTCTTCCCGTTGTTTGTAAATAAATTTGAAGTTTAATTTTAATTTTGTTACTTGAGCTATTTTAAAATAAAAATATTTGAAAGATGAAAAAATAATTTAATTGTGAAATCTTCATTTTGGCACCTGAATCTATTTAGGAAAAATTTTAGGTCTGAAATCTTTCGTCAGTAGAAACTTCAACTTTTTTCATTTTACTTTACATATGTGATATTGGTGTCATATGAAAGGTCATATAAAGTTAAGAATTATGATATATTTTTTTTTATAAAAATCGGAGTATAAATAAAAAAGTTAAAACACTTTAAATATAAAATAATATTTACATTTTGAGTGGGACCCATATTATTATTTGATGCGGCTGCTCCTGTTTGCTTTCCTCAAGCAAAGTGTGAATTGGGTGGGAGTGAAAAAGCTCATCTAATTTCCACATCTAATTTCCAGACTTAAGGAGTGTTTGCAGTTGATTAAAAAAAGCACTTTTCAGCTTTTGGCTTAAAAAAAAGTTAAAAAGAGTGTTTTCAAATAACAGCTTCTGCTTAAATTAATCAGTTAAAAGCTAAAAGCTGGAAGCAGGTGGGAGGGTGCTTTAAACTGCTTTTCACTTTTTCTATTACACAAAAAGTACTTATTTTACCAAACACTACCAACTTTTACTTTTTCAGAATCATTTTTTCTTCAAACACTACCAACTTTTACTATTAATCACTTTTCCCCAAATCACTTTTTTAAAGTTGAAGCAATTGCAAACACTCCCTTAGCCTCTCCAAATACAAGGGTTGTGGAGTTTTTGGGAGTGAATAGATCAAAATTGCTTTTTACCCCATGGGTTGCAATCAGCCCAAGGGAGAAAGAGACTAGTAACCCAAGTTTTAAATTGGAACTCGAAACCTTCTCCTTCTCGAAGGCATCTACCATGGCTACTCTACGAATGATAGGCAAGTAATCTGAATTCATATTCGTTTTCATATTGATGAATTATTTTATCAACTCAATTATTCTTATTTCATTTACACGAAACTTTACTTTGATTGAAACGTTTTCTCTGAATATCTGACGATGCCATCTATCTTTCTCGAATGAAACAGATATTGCAGTCAACTTTACAGGTCAGTGGAGTTCCAAAGCCACTTCAAATGCGCATTTCTTATTTTAGTTTTTCTTTACATATTACTTTCCTGTTTAACCTATAAATGGAGTGAAATTACACTTCAGATAGCATGTTCAAAGGAATATACAATGGGAAACAGTATCATGTTGCTGATATTCAAACTGTTCTGAAGCGAGCCTGGGCTGCCGGGGTTGAAAGAATCATAGTAAGTTCAGTTCTTCTCGCCTACCCACACCCGTTAACTAGAAGAGAGATTGGTGTTTTATGCTTGCTGTCCTCCAAACAACAAATGCTGGAAAGAGGAGATCTTCATTTTTTAGACTCAGAGAGTGAAAAGTGCTGCAATTTATTGTAACTTGTATTTGACTAGATCGTTTAGATGACAATTCAAAGCTCACTAGAGAAGGCATGTAGAAAAAGGGAAAAGGAAAACGGTAACACGAGTTGAAACCTGACAGTCTGTGTTTGGATTTCTAGCTGCATAGGTTATGTTTTCTTTTATGTTGAACCTCTCAAAAGTTAGAGTGATACAAGGGGCAAGCCTCCCATTTGCAATTTTTTGACAAGAGGCCGCTCCCTAGACTTGAGCCCATGACCTCTTGGTCACACAACAACACACTGGTGCGCCAAGTCTCCCCTTCATTTGTAAGCTTTATATAAAAGGACAGATCCAAAACAAAACTTTTTCCAAACCGCCATGCTTTACTGTCAGCAAAACAAATCCTGCTTAACTTAAATCTTATGTCATTACGGAGGAAGCTCTTCTAGTGTTTGTATTGATGAGAGACGATGTTTGGAATATGATTATTTCTTCTATTCCTAAACAAGATATGATTGTTGGAAGATCAATATAGTTTGTTTCACATGAAGACAGACAATTCTTTAAAAAATATTATAGGTTACTGGCGGCTCACTTGAGGAATCAAAGGAAGCTCTTGCGATTGCAGAATCAGATGGTTATTCTTGCTCATAACCCTTGCGCCATTTATATTGTTTCTTTTACAACCATTCTCAATTGTATGTCATGATGTAGCTAATCATTATAGCGGTCTTTTATGCAGCTAGACTGTTCTGTACAGTAGGAGTGCACCCGACAAGATGCAACGTAGGTTTTGTCAACATCGATGGTCTTTTAATTTTGTATAATAACTTAGTCAGACATGCAATCATTTTCTTCTCATGTGTTCATTCAGGAATTTGATGAGAGTGGGGAC